AACTGCGATGGAAGTGTTTATCTGTTCCCACCAGGGTCTGATACTAACTCTCTGTCCACAAAGATGTTCTTTCATAGCAACTGGGTTGCTGGGTTTGACAAGCTTTACAGACCACAGGCGAAAATCCTGTTAAACCTACTGACAAATTGTAGCGCAGAACTACTTAGAGTGCATTATTAAATATTATATTTTCAAGTGTTATCATAATTCAGTCTTTGGAATGTGATCAGAGTCTTTCAGAGTGTTTTAACGTGAAACAGTTCATTGTAGAGAAGCTTAACGATTCAGATTTCTTTACTGTGATGGTGATTGGAACCAGGGGTCACCATGTCTACAACACAAATACAGCCATTTTATTTAAGATCTAAAATAGCTGTAAACCTGACTTTGAAGTTTTTATTTATAATATTGGTAATTAGTGGTAAATGTGGGGGAAAATAGTATTTGGGAACTACTTTGCTTTCTAACACCCTTCATGTGTTTAAAAAGTACGTTTAAGGCCAGTTGAATTGACTTTCTCTCAAAATTGTCCTAAAACAGTGTCTCAGCAATCAGGCAAAGTATGTAATGTAATCACTTTCACTGAGGGAGCTTTTAGAATCATTAAACATTTCAGACAGCTCAGACGTCTGGGTCTTTCACCGCCACTCTGAACAGTTCAACCAAAAAATGGAGCATTTCACGTTGATCCAGTCTGAATGACTTTGTTTACATCTTAATGATTTAGGGTCGTTCTACAGAAACGTCCACTTTTCTGTCTATCCATAGGAGTCACTGGTGTAACCGATCCTCATTGGTGTTACACATAAGAAAGGTAACACCAGAGACATTTTTAATGAAAAATGCATTTTACAAAATTTCTGCTACAGAGCATCAAACCACATGCTGTCAATCATGGAACATCCACTAAAATATGTAATTTAATCCATTTGGATTCTATTTTTTCACAGTTACCTAAGAATGTAATAGGTCACACCAGTGACTTCAGCTAAAAGCTCCATATGAAATCATGAGCTAAATGAGAGAATCTCTGATAACTGAAAGACACAGTGAATTCACCATGTGCTTTTCTTCATAGATCCTCAGAAAATAGATAAAAGGAAGTCAAGTGATGTCATCAGTGTGATTTTTATTTCAAAATAAGAGATTTTTTGTTATGTGGAAACACCAGTGACATGACTCCTGGGGACCACAACTTTCATTATATATTTTATAATATTTATTAGGCATTTGTTTTCTTTGTCATTCAATTTATACATTTCATAGTCATGTATAGATTATTGTAGTTAAAATTGCAGTAAATTGTGGGTTTTTTTCCTCCAAAATATGGCCTCACCCTTTACACATGACTGTGGGGACGAGCGCTTTTGTGGTGCTTGGAATTCTGTATAATTGATTTAAAAACCAATATTGCTAAATTGATGGATCAAGAAGATGTAATTGTTAAAATAACGTATTGTTTTATTTGAAAATGTAGAAAAAATTGTAACCCTAACATGTTTTTAAGTGTAATCTATCTGTAAACGCTAAAGACACAAAAATGGACGTTTCTGTAGAATTTTGTAAAAATTTGGAAAAATTGGTGGAATTTCCCTGTAATCTCAAATGGTGTTTAAATGTCAGTATGTACTTTTATATTTTAATATATATGGATATGGAATCTCACTCTACATCTCTTCTTATCCATTTTGAAATGGACGCAAGCACAAGCCGCGCTCCATGACACCCCAGCTGTGTGACTTGCGCTGGAAGAGTTTGTGTGACCCTGCATGTCCAGAGGTTCAGTGTGTCCAAGTGAATGTGCTGCCGGACAGACACGAGCGGACAGTTGCTGCGTCATAGAATTCACACTGTCACTGTTTTCTCCTGTCTAAACTGACCACTAAACTGACCACTGCCTTAAAATATCCGGGTCGGTATTACTGCAGGGCTTATTACCAACCCAGCCATATTTCCTACTCAAGTAAAAGTTCAGCGTAAATATCAAAGTTACAGTTATGTGTTTTACCCCAGCCAGTTTTTGCTGTCTGAAGTTTAGTTTTGTACTGGAGCAATGATGCTAATGTAGCTTACAAGTACTGGAGCCTTATGTACATTAATCACCATTGCATGTATACATTTTCACACATTTGCCTCAGACCTTGTTAATTTGTTAAGTAATCTCAAATAGGCTTTCCTATGTGGTTTCTGACGCTGTATGACACTGGTATCTACACTATATATCCACCTGACCATCACACCTATATGAGCTCGTTGGACATCCCATTCCAAAACCATGGACATTAATATGGAGTTGCCCCCACTTTGCCGCTGTAACAGCCTCCACTATTTTGGGAAGGCTTTGGACAAGAATTTGGAGTGTGTCGGTGGGAATTTGGGCAGGCACTGATGTTGGACAAGAAGGTCTGGGTCAGTCAGCTTTCTTCCCAAAGGTGTTCAGGGGGGGTTGAGGTCAGGGCTCTGTCCAGGAAAGGACCTTCCCCAAACTGTTCCCACAAATTGGAAGCAAATAATTGTCTTTAATGTCTCTGTATGCTGTAGCATTAACATCACCCTTCACTGGGACTAAGGGGCCCAAACCCTGAAGAACAGCCCCAGACCATTATCCCTCCTCCACCAAGCTTTACAGTTGGCCCTATGCATTCCAGTAGGTAGCGTTCTCCTGGCATCCACCAAACCCAGATTCATCCACCAGACTGCCAGATAGCGAAGCATGATTCATCACTCCAGATAATGGGTCTTCACTGCTGGTTTCCACTGGCAGCGAGATTTACACCCCTCCAGTCGACTCTTGGCATTGTGCATAGTGATCTTAGGCTTGTGTGCAGCTGCTCAGACTGGAAACCAATTTCATGAAGCTCCAGGTGCACAGTTCTTGTGCTCATGTTGCATCTAGGGGCAGTTTGGAACTCTCTAGTGAGTGATACAACAGAGGAAAGGCGAATTATGTTTTTCTGCTCTGAGGTTGCATGGTCTGTCGCTTCCTGGCTCAGCTGTTGTTGCATCCGTTTCGCAATAATAGCACTTACAGTTGTTCAGATCTAGCAGGGCAGAAATTTCACACCTGGGGCAAGGGTGGCATCCTATAACAGTGTCAGTTTAAAGTCTCTGAACTCTTCCCTACGACCCAGCGTTTGTCTGTGGAGAATGCATGACTGTGTGCTTGATTTTATACACCTGCTAGCACTGGGTGTGACTGAAACACCTGAGCTTAATAAATGTGTCCACATACTTTTGGCCAAATTGTGCACTTCAGCACCAACTCTAAGCACCTTCTTTCATTTGGGGTAAGGAGACATTTTTGTAAAGTAGTTTTTTTTACTGAGCTGCTTGAAATACTGTAAATAAAGTATTAGTTTGTATGGAACAGAGGGTCATCTGTGAGTTTTGCGATCTCTGATAACGTGAGATAATGATGAAGCACTCAGTTCCTGTGAGATGTGTTTAGCTGTGTGTTAGCTGAGCGAGGAGGTCGTTTCCAGATTCTCAGGAAAGTGACTTTTGACCTGAGGGTCGAGGCTGGAGTTGATTTTAATAAGATGGAACAGAGTTGCGGCTGTACACATCGCTGCCCCCCCGCGTGTTATTCTCCTACAGACGCTGCTGCAGTGAGCGGGACTACAGGCGGTCTGAGGCTTGTGAGGACACTGAGATTAATGCAGCTATTTTAAGGCAGTGGTTTTAAGTGGTTTTGTTACCATTTAACACGGGAGAAAATGTTTAAAAGTCTCCAGTTTAAAAGTGCTCAGAGAACATACAAAGTCCAGTATGTGAAGTCAGTGGTGTGACCTTTCGGGCCTGTTTCGAAGGATGGCTGAATTTTAAAGAAACATTTAGTTTCTGATTATAAATGTTAATTTATTGGTAATAAATGTTAATTCTGATGATTGATTTTTTCGCGTGTGGCCGATGTACGCAAACAAAAGAAAATAGGCCATTGTTTACTACCACGTTTCAGCAGCATTGTATATAAACAGCTGCATTTTAATTATACGTTTATAGAATATGGTCCTATATTTATTAAGAAAACCATGCATTTTTAATGTGAGTTGTGGAATTTATTTATTTGTTTATTTGTTTGTTTATGTATTAATGGCATCATGTTTTCTAATAGTGAAAAACAGCTTACGGAAACTTTTTCATACCTAGTTATAACATCTCTTTAACTTCTTTGTTCCAGTGCACGAGTGTAAAACTGGTATCCACTGGATGGCCACTTTATTGGAAACACTTACCTTGCATCTACACTTATTGGCTGTTTTTTCAAAAACACAGTAGTTTACAATTAATTGTAGCCCATCTGTCCCGTCACCCCAATTAATCAATGGAAAGATAAAGATATTATTTGGGTATTATATCTCAGCACAGCAGTGACACTGACAGTGTGGCGCTGTTGCAGTGTATTAGGCACAGTGTTGTTTATATGGTGTGGGATACAGGGTTTCTAATAAAGTGGCCACTCTATAAATACACTGATACGACTATAAATACAGATCCTGTTTGAAGTGTGTGAAGCCAGACGCTGTAGATATTCAGTGAAGTAATTACTACAGAAACCGCAGTGACGTTCATGTATGTGTGCCTGTCCAGGACCATCAGTATATCCGTGACGATGGGGGTCATCGAGACCACCGCTCTGACCCTCGGCCTTCACCGTCAGACAGAGCTCAGGCCCGGAACTATAGGAATCGCGAACGCTTCGCCACCATCAAGTCCGCCTCACTGGTGAGTATTAACAATTACGTCATCCACACTTTTCTTTGTCTGCGCTCTTTTCCTCCTCTCCTCTCGTCTCCTCTCGTCTCCTCTCCTCTCTGTCCTTGTCATATTCTCTTTCTTTTTCTTTTTTCTATCTCTTATTCTTCATTATTCGTTTTTCTCTCTGTCCCTGACTTTCTCTTTCTCTTTCCTTTTTCCTCTGATCTTTTTCCTTTCTCTCTACCTGTCATTCCCTGTCTTTCTCTTCTTTCTTTTACATTTTTTCTTTTATTCTCTTTCTGTTATTCTTGTTTTCTTTTTCTCTGTATCTGACGTAATGTTCTTACTTCAGCCTTAATTTTCTCTCTCCTGTCTTTCTCTCTCGTTCTCATTCCTTCTTCCTCTTTTTCTTTTACCTTTTCTTTCTGTTCTTCTTTGTCTTTCTCTCTCTGACTTTTTTTTGTTTATCTCTCTCTGTTTTTCTTTTTTTCTGTTATTCTGTGATGTCTTTCTCTCTTTATTTGACTTTCTCTCTCTTCCTTTGTTTTACCTTTAATCCTTTTTCTCTCTCCTTTTCTCTTTTCCGTTCCCAGTCGCATCTTGTCCTTTCTCTCGTGTCACCTGTCCGTCCGCCCTCTACTTCTCTCTCTCCTTCTTCTTTGCCCTCCTCCTGTTCCTCCCTCTATTTTGGTGGAAAAAAACAAGATGCGTGTACACACACGCACACACTCACATATATCTATGCTCACACTAGTGTCTGTTGTCAAGGCAACTCTATGTGGTCAATAGGGCTGTATGGGTGTCCTCGTGCAAGGGCTGTTATTCTGTCGTGAAATCTTCATCGAAAACGCAAAAGCGACGCCCGTCCAGGGACTCAGTAAAGATCAGCCGTATTTCTGTTTAATCGTCAGTAAAAAGCTCCTAAAGCAGTTTTGTTCGGAGTATCCGAGACGTCGCTGACGGATTTTGAAGGATGTCATGAAGGATTGCGTAATAGTTCCACTTCAGCTGTGATCACTCACTTTTCCCCCTCTTTTTCCCCAATTAAACATTGTTGTAATGTTGCTGTTTGGATCAATGGCAGGCACAATAGTCAATCGCTGAATCCTCGGCTTATGTGGTGATGTCACCTGTTTGGGCTGGATTTTGCTGAAGCGTGAGCACCCTCTAGGGGCAGACAAGCGAACCGCAGGCTGTCTGATAAAACAGACTAATCTATCATTTCATAAGATCACTCACAAGTCCCAGTGTTTTCTTCGTACGACAAGCTAACTTTGTCTTCCTCAGCACTGAGCACCAGTTTTCTTTCTTCACTTTCACATTATTTTGTCATGAATGAGTCCTATTGTGTTTTTTTTCTTTGTTTGGCTCTTTTTCTATCCCACAATGTGGAGTGGAGGGGAGGGACTAGACCCGGCTATAGAGACTCTCTTTGTTTGAGTAAAAAGCGAGAGGGAGGGGTCGCGTTGGAGCGGACGAGCGATGAAGAGATAGTGATGATAAACTGATCAGTGAGAATTTCATCAGTAGATTTTTTTTTTTTTTTCTTTTTCTTCAAAATTCAGAGAACATAATTTGACCATAAAGGTCTCTAAAGCACGTTAATATTGGTCTGGTGAATGTAACAGGTGTGTCCACTGACTGAAATTGCAATACATTCCTTCAGCTTTCTGAGTTTATATCATATAGAAAATGTGATATTATTGTACTTAATACATTGTACATTTATTTAATAAAAAATATAATTCCCAATTTTACAAAAAGATGAGATAGGCTGCCTTTTTCAACTGAGCCTAAACACCATACATTGTAGGGGGGAAGGAGCATTAACGTTAATCAATAATATTAATTAATGCCCCAAGTCGACTACATTAAGATCAAAATTTTTTACTGAATTTGGATTTTTTAGGATTTCAACTTTTCAAATAGTCCTCCACTAACAAAATAAACAGGTTGCTCTTTCAGATTTTTGTTTAACTGGAATTTGAATTCAAAATTGATTTTTTTCAAATTCATTTTGAGTTAAAATTTAGGTTTAAAAATCACTTACGGTCTAAATTTGAATTCGAGTTTTGAATTTGAATTAAAATGTCCAAACAGTGTTTCACTAACAAACTAGTCACTCATCCAGATCTTTGTTCAGCTTTAATTTTCATTGAAAATTCCACGGCCCTTTTTCCACTTTAATTTGAATTGTAATTTGATTTCAGTAAGGATTTGATTTGGAATAGGATTTAATATTAAAGCTCTAAATTTTAATTTTAAAGGTTTCTCAAACAGCATTTCACTAAAGAAATAAACACGTCCCTGCTTCTTGTCTTTATTTACGTTCAAAATTCAAATGTCTTTTGAATTTTAATTTGAACTTTAATTTGAATTAGGATGGAGGTTTAAATTTGAATTAAAGTTTAAATTTGAATTTTGACTTTGTATTAGGATTTGAATCCAATTCTCAGCTTTCCCAAACAGCAGCTCCTTCCTCTGGATCTTCGTTCAGCTGTGATTTAAAATGTAAAAATAGTTCAAAATGCTTCCGTTTGAATTAGAATTTAATTTGGATTAAAATTTAAATTGAATATTTAAAGTTTCCCATTCATTTGTAACAAAATAAACAGGTTTTTATTCTACTTTAACTGCTTCAATTTCAGGCTTATTAATCGGTTATTAATTTCAAAACTTATTATTTAGTAACTTCTATGAATTATGTGTAAGTTCTGTAGTGTTTTTTCGACCTGACCTCTGTCCTTCATGTCTGTTGTGTGGGTTTGGTTACAACAGATGATCGTTTTGACACTTTTCCTTGTACTTAGAAAAGAACAGAAAACCAGTGGAAATTCATTTGTAATGGAAGTCGTTGGGCATTTCAGCACTTCAGGATTTAACTTCAGTTGCTTAATTTATTTACCTGGAAGCGTTACTGTTCATCTTCATTCTGCCGGACCCTGCAGAGACGTGAGGAATAGCCCCTCGCTGGCCCAGCGGGCCGGGCAGCGGGGGGGGCATCTGGGCAGAAAGTGATGGGATTGGTGTGTGTGGGTACAGTGGGGGTATTGATTCGGCGTGATTAGGAAACGTCCGTGTTGAGCGCAGTGCTCATGTGACTGGCCTACTAAACGCTGATTAGCCTGGTCAGAAGAAGTGTGTGAGGGCCAAGCCTCTGAGAACCTCTTTCATACACGGCACGCACCTGCCATCTCTCTCTCTCTCTCTCTCTCTCTCTCTCTCTCTCCCTCTCTCTCTCTCTCGGTCTCTCTCTCTCTCTCTCTCTCTCTCTCTCTCTCTCTCTCCCTCTCCCTCTCTCTCTCTCTCTCTCTCTCTCTCTCTCTCTCTGGTCTCTGTAAGCGATGTAGCTCAGGTTTTAGTCTCCATGGTCTCGCGAGTGCTTTACTTTGCCAAAATGTTTGGCCTCCGGAGCTCAGGTGGGAGTTACGAGAAACTCAACGAACATTTCGACCTGGACACGCCTTTCTTCCAGGTTGGTTTTCCGAAAAGACTCTGCGAAAGACTTTAAAGGCAAACTACAGCATTTTTCTGCCTCTGCCTCATCTGTTGCTTATGGTTGATTACCACAGAAAATAATTTCAGAATGTTTCCCTGTATTTACAAAAGAGCAGCAAACCTGTTGCCTCGGAATTCACTCACAGTGGAAGTCAGTGGGCAGTTGCTTCAGCGATGAGCCTTTGACTTCTATTGTAAGAGGGTTTTTTATGGGGAAACAAGCCAAAGTTGTTGTCTGTGATAATTGATTTTATGATATAGATGCAGCAGAGAGAGATGAGGTGAAAAACACAGGCGTGTTACGAAGAAAAGACTTTATTAGCTTTTGGGATGATTCTGAACGGCATCATTATAGGAGGACGAGGTGTGAATTTCATCCACCAGCTCTGTATGATTTAATCAAGGAGGTTCCAGGACAAAGACTTGATCTGATGAGTCTCACAGTCATAGAATTAACTACAGAACTGAAATCAGTTGGTTTTAATGTGAATTTAAAGGTAGCTGCACATTTAGGAATGAATAGGAGGGTTTTTTAGCTTCTGCAGTGGGTTTGACTTTTTCTGCTGATCTCAAACATGACTTTTGTTGTTCTTCGTCTTCATCTTTTCCCTTTCTCTACACTTCTAGTGCTTTGTGAAAAAGTTTAATAGCATTGGATAATATGGACTATTTAGTAATTTTGACTTACGTTCACAGATGTGTAAGGAATGTTGGTCGACTGCTTTAAAGAACCTGATCCTTCCACATTAATTAATATCTAAGAAATATTTAGATAAATAAAGCGGAAAGTCAACTGAAATGGAGGATCCAGGCAAAAATATTCTAGAAACGTCTTGGTAACCAAGTAACCAACTGATCTAGGGGTGCTTTGTGTATTCAGTTCGGTGCAAAAATCATAAGCGCTCAAGAACGTTTTAATAAAAAAAAAAATCTGAGTAGTGTTTGTTTGCTGAAACACTCACGGCAAAATAAATACAAATATTAATCTAAAAAGTGGTTGTTTTATATATCGTCGCAAAGTAAAACAAGTACCTCCAAAATAGTAACTTTACAGGAGAGGGCAAAAACACTCTTACCTTTCAATGTAAGTCAGTGTAAAGAGGTTTTATTCCAAGTGATTTTAGAGCATTTCTACTGGTCCCTTCATCATGAAATCCTCACACAACGTAAAGGACAGCTGGTGTGTTGAAATGATGTAGAAAAACGAAAATGTGCAAAAATGGAGATGCATGGTTTTCGTTGGACAGTGACGATATGTTATATCTCAAGCTTGTTCTCAGTTAAATCCTGTATTACTCAAAATAATGTGGAGAGTTGACTTCACTGAGGTAGTGAAGTCTGAGTATATCTCTGTAAATCTTCTCTCGGTTTGTCCTTTGCTAACCGTCACTTCTCTCCTCTCAGGTGACACGTCAGATCCATGAACATGAGCAGGAGAATGAGCTCCGAGAGCAGATGTCTGGCTACAAGCGCATGAGACGGCAGCACCAGAAGCAGCTGATCGCTCTGGAGAACAAGCTGAAGGCCGAGATGGACGAGCACCGGCTGAAGCTCCAGAAAGAAGTGGAGACGCAGGCCAACAATGCCTACATCGAGCTGGAGAAGCTGGCCAAGAAGCACGCCATCCACACAGATAAGGAGGTGAGGGGTCACTGCCTTACTTCGATTCTGTTAGCATGGTGATGGTTAGCGGTGTTCACATCAGCGTCAATGTTATAAAGTCGGTGGTCGGCTTAAAATGTCCTGATGTTGGTTTTTATATGCTTAAAAGTCAGAGATATGAGTTTGATTGTGGTTCTCCAGAAAATAATTCTATGTATTATGAAGGAGGTTCATTAAACACATGATTAAAGTGTCCAGTTACTTTTTTGGGGCACTGTAAATGCGTCCAAAATACAGCACACAAATGAGCAGATTCCTCAAATGCATTATGAAGTGCTGGTTAACTACCTGCTCCTTTAAGAAGGACACTTTTCAACATCCAAATGTCCAGAGAATTGAACCAGTGTGAAATGGGGACATTTTAACATCAGCTGAGACCTGAATGTCAGTCTTTCTTGTCAGTTGGTTGACTTTGTCTATTCAAAATCCAACACTTGAGATGATTTCTAACAAAATCCAAAGCCCTCCTGAAACCCATCCGCTTGAATGTCACTTCAGAGTCAAACTATTGAGAAGATGAGGTGTTGAAGAAAAGCTCCTGACCCCGTTTCATTGTTGAAGTGAACTAATAGAGTGGTTGAATAAGATACAAAGGGGGAAAAGGCGGGGGGGGGTAGTGGGGGGTGGTGTTTGCAGGGGGTGGTTCAAAAGTTCACATGAGGAAGAGAACAATAGAAGAACAGGAAACATGCAAACAGCCGTTATCCACAATCGCACTTTTCAATATTGTATGTGAAATATGTAAATAGCCGGTGGTTGAATGTTCATTATTCATGATGCATATGTTGATTAGTATGCTAATGAAGCGGGTGAAGAAAATGGTAGGCTTGTCTTCGGGAAGCCTCAGTGAATGTGCAGAATCCTGAGCAAAATGTAGCAGCACCACTCGCGTTAACCTCATTTTCAAACCTTCTGTAAGAATAATGCGTCCCTTCTTTAGATCAGCCTGCAGTGTTTTTCATAGGGAGTGAAAATAATGGACTTTAAAGTAAACCTTATAGTGGTAATTCTCAGTTCCAGCCTTGAGGGCCAAATACACTGCAAGTATCTCAGTATGTGAAGGCCTCTGTGATTAGCTGATGAGTTGAAACTGATGTGTTGGAGCAGGAAAACAACAAAAATGTGAGGTGCAGATGGTCTGAGGACTGGAATTGAGAACCATTGAGACCCATATGTTGGTGTCCGATGTGTTTTAGTGCATTTACTTTGTAATATACATGTAAAATAACAATGATGATGATTATGATAATAATACAAAGCCTAAAAAATAACTTCATGTAGTAACAAGCAATTGAACTAGCTGTATTCAACTAAAAAAAGAAAAAAAGTACGTTGATTGAAAGAATCGTTTTTTCAAAGTATTTATTTAGGTTGAATAAAACTAGTTAATTTACTGTTTATCACATACATTCATTTTTTTAGGTTGATCTGATGAGCCATTTTGTTACAGTGTAATAATAATAGTCAAAAATATGGCATAATTGGTGCAAATTGTTCATCAGAGTATTCACAAACCTTAAGGAATTCTTATGTAGATGTTTATTAAGAATGTAAAGCAAAAAGTTTCTGTTATTTAATGTATGGTAAAGTGAAGGGGTCATTCTACAGAAATGTCCATTTTTGTGTCCCTAGTGTTTACAGATAGATTACACTTAGAACAATGTTAGGGTTACAATTATTATTTTTTTTTTTTTACATTTTTAAATAAAACAATAAATTATTTTAATTCCACCTTCTTGAGCCAACAATTCAGCAATATTGGTTTTTAAATCAATTATCTAGAATTCCAAGTACCACAAAAGCGCTCGTCCCCACAGTCATGTGTAAAGGGTGAGGCCATATTTTGAAGAAAAAAAAAACACATTTTTCTGCAGTTTTAGCTACAATAATCTATACATGACTATGGAATGTATGAATTAAATGACATAAAGAAAACAAATGCCGTGGTGAGTCCACTGTGTCTTTTTAGTCATCAGAATTTTTCTCATTTAGCTCTTGATTTCATATGAAGCTTTTAGCTGAAGTCACTGGTGTGACCGACTTTATTCTTAGGTAATTGTGAAAAAATAGAACACAAATGGATTAAATTACATATTTTGGTGGATCTTCCACGATTGACAACATGTGGTTTGATGCTCTGTAGCAGCCATTTAGTAAAATGCATGTTTCATTAAAAATGTCACTGGTGTTACCTTTCTTATGTGTGACACCAATGAGGATCAGTAACACCGGTGGCTCCTATGGATAGACAGAAAAGTGGACGTTTCTGTAGAATGACCCAAAGATATTTTGTACCAAGCACTTTTGGACCATGTCTACTGGTCCATGCATCATGAACTCTGAATTTCCACATAATATAAAGGGAAGCTGTGTTCAAATTACTAAGATAAAATAAAAAATTAAAAAAACATGAACAACTTTTTTTGGACAGCAGTGATATGTAATACACCTCTTACCCCTTTTAGGGATGCATACGTTTACATATTTGTAATTGGATTGAATTGTTTTATCGTGAATGTTCACGTTTGTCTTAATAATTAAATGCAAACAATATTATTATTACTAATAATACTGCATTAACTGAGACTTCTTTATTTGTTTTCCAGATGAAGATGGCTGCAGCAGATGAGAAGAAGTTCCAGCAGCAGATCATGGCCCAGCAGAAGAAGGAGCTGACCACCTTCTTGGACAACCAGAAGAAACAGTATAAACTCTGCAAGGAGAAGATCAAAGAGGTGCTCAGTTTAGATCCCGTCTGCTGTTGAAAATGAACAGGACACACAGACTGTTTGGCCAAACACTGTCTTTAATTAGAGCTTAAGTCGTTCTCCAGTCAGGGTGTCCTGTAGAGCTCGTTATTTTGGATGTACAATGTAAACTACAGCAGTTTAGCTCCACCCAGTCCTGTTGAAGTGGTGCAGAGTGTCGTTCCTGCGTGCAGACTTTTACTGGATTGAAAGACAATTAAAACTTATGGCTGTCATGAAGCAAGTGGATCATTGCAGCTTTCCAAAGGATCCACACATTAATGTGATGTGCTCCCTTTCAGTCTGAAAGGGCCCGCATCACGGAAAGCCACATTTTTCCATACAATTTTGAAATAATTGGTGTAGAATTGTAGTATCAAAATGTTCTGTTCTCTGCTCAGTCCACACAGTCCATATGTGCAGTGGGGAGTGTGGAAACTAAGCTGTTTTTGTGGTGTAATGAAAACCAACACATTAAAAAATGGCCGTCTATTTAGTCTATAGCAGTTTAGCCCCACCCATTTGCACTGACGTTATAGGGAGTGTTTCAGCCCAGACTGCTTTTAGACTGAGACACAATACAGGGCAGCCAGTCAGAACAGAGCTCATATACATATATCAGTCTTAAATGCACAGAAACAGCCTGTTTAATTCTAAGGGATAAGGAGAGATATTTATAGTCAATTATGGCTGGGTTTGGTACATAAACCACACGAGCATCATAAAAGAAATAAAATGTAGAAGATTGGCTCTTTAATGTATTCAATCTCTGTGTAGCAATAAACCTGATGCAACAAATATATTAGTTATAATAATATTATGCAACAGTTCCGGCCACGCAAGCTGATTGGTTGAGAGGCGTTCTAACTGTGTTGTTATTTCACCATAACAGCACCGTTTTTTCACAAACACTGTATCACTCACCTGAGACGCCGTTGCCAAGCAACGACTTTAACGGCTGTAGGAGACGCTCCAGCCATTTGAACGTTTTTACTTCTTACTTTGCCACAAACAGAAAACGGACACTTTTAAGATCACGTTTGACCGACAGCCGATTTGGTCAGACTCTGAAGATGAGACGACACTAAATTCCCAAACTGTCATCACCACTGAGCAGCTTTTCAGTCGGCAGCTGTGACAGAAGAACAGCTAAACAACCTGGAATCAGCCAGAAATGAACCCAACACCATTCGCCGAACTAAATGGGCTGTAAGATGCTTTACAGACTGGCTGGAACAAAACAACATTAATACTGATCTGGCAAAAAATGACAAAACTGAGCTAAACCTGATATTGCAGCAGTTTTACGGCTCAGTCTGTACTTCAAAAGGCGAGGCGGGCGGAGTTCGTTGCTCTGACGTAGCAACAAGCTGCTTGTTAAGGAACTATAATTTGGTGAAGGAACTGCGAACATTAAAACATATTAAACGCCGCGTTCACGGCCCAGTTTATTAATTTATTACTTTATTTATTTAACTGTTATATAAAAGCGATAGAACACTCGAGGAGTGTGTTATCGCCAATAACGTCACGGCTGTGATGATCTACAGTGACCAAATCACAGCTGTGATGTTATTTCGCGGTAACACACTCCTCAAGTGTTCTATTGCTTAAATAATAATTCCTGCAATTCCTGAATATGTAATACTCATGCAGGGGTTTGAAAATAAACAAATCCAGGGTCTTGCTTTGGGTATGAGGGGGGAAAATATTTTCTGCACTGATAATAACCATTATTTCTCTCTCTCTCTCTGTCTCTCTCTCTCTTTAGGAGATGAATGAGGACCACAGCACCCCGAAGAAGGAGAAGCAGGAGCGCCTGTCCAAGCATAAGGAGAACATGCAGCACTCTCAGGCAGAAGAGGAGGCCCAGCTTCTGGGCCAGCAGCGTCTCTTTTATGACCGCAACTGCAGGGCCTTCAAGCGCAAGGTCATGACCAAGAGACACGAGCTTGAACAGGAGCAGTTACGAGAGGTAGGAGAAGGAGCACAACACTGTGATGGCAGGTTCCCTTGCTGAAAAGGGGAATTCTGTGTATTTCAGACAATTGGATGTTAACAAAGTCATTCAGGGGGATTTGATGTGAAGAGGCTCATTATAGAGAAACATACTTAACACATCTTAGAGGAACATGTAGCTTCTTTACAGTGGTGGTGATAGGAACCAAGAGTCTGATGTAGACGATTAATTTGCTATCTAACACCACCAGTGAACCTACACGTGTCTTCAGAGTTTTTATATGTAATGTTAATGGTGGTACTATTTGGGGACTGTTTTGCTTCATCACACCCTGGATGTATCTTTTCGCCGTGAATGGATTAAAAAAAAAGATATTAGGTCAAATCGTATCTCAAAACTATCGTAAAAACAATGTCTCAGGCATCAGGCAGTGTATTTGTAACCATTTCATTATAATAATTTTTCTGTGAAGAAGCTGGTAGAGACATGAAGCTCTTCAGACGTCTGGTTCCTATCACCACCACTGTGAATATTTCTGATTCACATTAAACTCTGAATGACTTTGTTTGTGTCCTAACCATTTAATTATGCAGAAATTTTGAAAAAGCGGTGGCATTCACCTTTAAGCAGTAGAACATGAGAGAGAGTGTATAGCGCAGGGGTTCCCTAACCTTTTCATGCCAGGACCCACATGCAGAGTATTGTTTGTGTCACAAAATCTTTTATGAAGTGAAAAAAGACAAACTTGACAAAACAGTTAAGTTTTTAGTCTTTTTTTTTATTTCAGTCAATTTAATTATAGAAAATTATAAAACATTGACAACGTTTATTCGTTCATATTTTGTTTTAATGCTTTAGCCCTTACATTCAGTATGAATCACATGTCTTATTTACGTTCGATCTAATCCATGTTGTTAGGTAAACTAGAAGCCCATTCTGCTGTGAACTGTAATCACTGTTGAATTTTGTAGCTAAAGCAAGCTGTTTAACATAACCAATGCAGCACAGCAGCAGAGCAGGAGATACAGTTGCATGCAAAAGTTTGGTCAAATGACACGTGAGAATAATGTTCTACAGAGAACAACCTTCTGCACATGTTAATGCACATTTTCTGTTTATTTACTGAATTTACATGTTAGAAAAATATGGCACATTGTATACCTGTAGGTTTTATTTTTTCAATATGTTAAATTCAGCAAATTATGCTCTAAAATTTGCAGCAAAAATGTTTGTTCCCTAGAGGATGTGTTAATGTGTTGTTTATTTTCACTTAAAAAATAAGTAAACGAAACAAATTTGACAGGGGGTGTTCAAATTTTTGCATAGGACGGTGTGTGCTGCTTTATTATTATTATTATTATTATGAGTACTATTATTATTATTATTATTTTTATTTATTTATTTATTTTTACATTTTTCATGTGCACTGCATTTCTTCCTCCTAGGGTTGCCCAGTTAATGTGATTTGCAAATTAAGAAACACAGCTATGTGCTGATCCCATAATCTAGTCGGATTATCTGAGGAGAACCTTCGGAAGTCTTGCTTCATTCCAGCCTTTGTGTGCCCAAAAAACACCAAACCAGCTTGAACACATAATAATTGTTACTTGTTTGTTTCAAGAGATAACAATCACTGCAGCTTGACCTTTGTAATAATAATATAATAATAATATAATAAGTCACAAAAAGAGAGGACTTAAAAAAAAAAACCCTTAAGAACTTTTTGTGTTCTTTCATTCAGGAGCTGAATAAGAAGAAGACGCAGAAGGAGATGGAGCACGCCATGCTGATCAGGCATGACGAGTCGACTCAGGAGCTGGAGCACCGGCAGCTGAAGACCCTGCAGAAGCTGCGCATGGATCTGATCCGCCTGCAGCACCAGACTGAACTGGAGAACCAGATCGAGTACAACAACCGCCGCGAGAGGGAACTGCACCGAAAACACGTACTGGAGCTGCGGCAACAGCCCAAAAACCTCAAGGTATCAGAAAAACTTTATGTACTTTATGACGGTGAGCATAATGCATAATAAGATGGTATTATTCAGAGGGTCCTCATTAGGGCCTGACCCATATATTGTGGTTTGCTTTGTATGGTAATGAGCCCTAATATGAGGAAAGCGTTTATAAACGTGCACCAAAACCAAACCTTAAGCATTAGGATGATGTTATAACACCTACATTATTTAAGACTTCGTGAGTTTCAGCTGTTTGAGTAGTAAGAAATTTGACGATTGAGAACCGACTGTCTGTTTAAATTCCACTGGTTTTCTGCATAATTCAGTTACTGAGATGTAACCAGTCGTTCAGAGTTTGAGGTGAAATGCTCTGTTCTAGAGAAACGTACCAACTCTGATTTCTTCACAGTGGTGTTGAAGGGAACCAGGGGCCACAGTTCCTGTCACACAAATATAGCCATTTTATTACCAGTGAACCTGACTTTTGAGTTTTTTTGTGTAATGTTGATGATGATGATAAAAAAAAGTGGCAAATCTGAAAAAAATAAGCTTTCTTTGCCCTGAATGTACCTCTCGACCATCTTTGTATTTTAAAAAATACATTTTAGGGTGAAAGCTTATCTCAAATCTATTTTAAAACAATGTCTCAGACATGGTTTTATAACTATTTCACATTTAACAATTAACGTGAGGGAGCTTTTAGAGGCATTAAACTCACTTCAGATGTCTGGTTCCTATCACCACCACTGTGAGCAATTCTGTTACTTTGTTTACATTGTAGGGAATAAATTATGCCGAAATTTAGAAAATCTGTATAATTCCAATTTAATTTTCCATTCATATTAATTATAACCAGTGTTATTGGTTATGGAAAATATTAGTATGTTAAAATAGTTATTCTTATTAGTGACACAATTGTCATATTATACCACACCTACTACTATTACTACTACACCCAAGTCATATCATCACCTGTAGACAGTCTCTCCTACGGGAACTGGCAGGACTGGGATAAGAGCGTATATCAGCTTTGATCCTAATGAAAAAGTAAGCCGCACAAAGTCTCCATGAAGATGATTCAGTCATCTGCAGCTGTAAGGCTGGGTTAGATTTGCCATTATTTTGATTGTTGCTTGATTACACAACCAAAAAACTACAGCCGGTCTATTCTAACAGTGTGATCTTTCACACTCATGCACATGAAATATCATTTGAAGTTAATAACACTCTAGATCCCATGTGTCAAACACAGATCAGGCCCACCACACAATCCTATCCGGCCCGCAAAAGTGTTTCCATTTTCTGTTTATTCTGTTTCAAAGTGCGCTGCACTACAGTCCCCAGCATGCACTGGAACGTAATGCGCGCTCTGACTCTAATACCCCAACAACAGTCTATTGGACAGCGGTTACACCTCGATTCTGCACAATTCTACACTAGTCAAACCACCAAATGCATTTCAGCTGCAGTTTAACCAACGTAAACACTTCAGCTCAGCAGCTCAGAAACTGAGCCCAAGTCTTGATGAACTTGCAGCAAAGAAAGGATGTCAGGTGTCTAGTTCAAGCAAATAGGTAGGTTTAAAAGACTAAAGCACAACATTTCATTAAAAATGGCCCACAGACTTGATGAGATTTTTTAATATGGCCCTTTAACTGGTCGAGTTTGACACCCTTGTTCTAGATATACAACATTGTGCAAACGTCTTAGGGCTGTCACAAAAATTGATCTATCTCAGCAGTATGTGTATTTTCTAACATTAGAAAGAATACAAATAAATATAAATACAGCAAAAAGTAAGAAGAATGTGTTGTTATTAAGTTGTTAATATGTATTGTGTATATTAATAAGTATAATAGGTTAGATAAATACAGTTAGAAGGACGCGGGTTTGGGTCCTGACCTCTCGCTGCACTCCAGCCACCACGTGGACTTGTTCAGTCCCATCAGCAGCACCTGATTGATTAGATGATCTTAACTGTGAGAGATGGACTTCCTCAAAGAAAACTTTCATAGTGGACTCTTTGTTTGTTTGTATTTATTCAAGCGTTAGTGTAAATAAATAAATAATAAATAACACTCACAGGCAGTGAGTTTTACTGCTCAGTTCACACAGCTTTTAATTGTAATAAATGAACGATGTTCAGTGCAACGGTCTGTCTACGCTGTCAAAAGTTTGGGGACACCTAGCTTTTCAGACTGTTTTTATTATAAATAAACATTTTTTGTCAGTTTGCAGTAACATATTTACATATTAAAGACATTAAAGGGGAATTCCACCAATTTTTCAAAATTTCTGTTTAATTCAGTGGTTTAAAAAAAAATAACACACTCACTGTCCAGCTAAACCAAGACTTTTGCACAGTACTGTATGAGATGTGCACTATAATTTAGAAAAAACATATTGCAGTTGCAGTATTTGCTACAGAAGAACACATTTGTGGGCGTGGCATAGATAGGTCAGTTCCTAATTTGAACTTTAAGCCCGGAGCACATTGACCCAGTGTTTTTCACTAAACCCTGACAACACCCAAACGCTGTATGTCCCTCTCCTCAGGCCATGGAGCTGCAGATAAAGAAGCAGTTCCAGGACACGTGTAAGGTCCAGACGAAGCAGTACAAGGCCCTGCGGCACCACCAGCTAGAGGTGACCCCCAAGAGCGAACACAAGACCGTGCTGAAGGCGCTGAAGGAGGAGCAGACGCGCAAACTGGCCATCCTGGCCGAGCAGTACGAGCAGAGCATCAACGAGATGATGGCCTCTCAGGCGGTGAGTTTTACTGCTCAGTTCAAACAGCTTTCAGATTTAATAAATGAACAATGTTCAGTGCAACTGTCTGTCTACGCTGTCAAAAGTCTGGGGACACCTAGCTTTTCAGGCTGTTTTCAGTGTAAAGCAGTTTCTTTATCAGTTTGCAATATTTCATAGCTTAATACATATTAAAGACATTAAAGGGCAATTCCACTGATTTCTCAAAATTTCCACATAATTCAGTGGTTGAGATGTAAACAATCATTCAGAGAGATTTGAAATGAAATGGTTCACTGTAGAGAAACTTACTGATACACAACACTAATATAGTCGTTTTATTTACATCCAAAACCACCAATGAACCTACACGTCGTCTGAGTTTTTATATGGAATGTTTATCATTGTATAACAACAGTAAATCTGAAAAATAAGGCCTTGGGGACTATTTTGCCTTACAACACCCTGCAGTGACTATACAGTCATTATTAGAAGTCAGTGGAATTCCAGTGTAAGTGGCTACAGTTGCTGAGTATCCTGAACTCTGAGATTTCATGAATCAAAATTATGACAAACAAAGTGAGAGTTAAACTGAATGAGACTGTTAGTCCTGAACTTCCACAAGCTGTTAGTACTAAACTCAAACAAACTGTTTCTCCTGTACTCACACAGTTAGTCCTGAACTCACACAGACTGTGGGTCCTGAACTCTCACAAGCTGTTAGTCCTGAACTTCCACAAGCTGTTAGTTTTGCACTCTCTCAAGCTGTTAGTCCTAAACTCTCACGAACGGTTAGTCCTGAACTAACAGTTTGTGAGAGTTCAAGGCTAACGGTTTGAGTTCACAACTAACAATTGTGTGAGTTCAGGACTAACAGCTTGTAAGAATTCAGGATTAACATTCTGTGTGAGTTCAGGACTAACTGTGTGAGTGAGTTCAGGACTAACTGTGTGAGTTCAGGACTAACAGCTTGTAAGAATTCAGGATTAACATTCTGTGTGAGTTCAGGACTAACTGTGTGTGTGAGTTCAGGACTAACTGTGTGTGTGAGTTCAGGACTAACTGTGTGTGTGAGTTCAGGACTAACTGTGTGAGTTCAGGACTAACAGCTTGTAAGAATTCAGGATTAACATTCTGTGTGAGTTCAGGACTAACTGTGTGTGTGAGTTCAGGACTAACTGTGTGTGTGAGTTCAGGACTAACTGTGTGAGTTTAGGACTAACTGTGTGTGTGAGTTCAGGACTAACTGTTTGTGTGAGTTCAGGACTAACTGTTTGTGTGAGTTCAGGACTAACTGTGTGTGTGAGTTCAGGACTAACTGTGTGAGTTCAGGACTAACTGTGTGTGAGAGTTCAGGACTAACTGTGTGTGTGAGTTCAGTTCAGGACTAACTGTGTGAGTTCAGGATTAACAGTTTGTGAGGGTTCAGGACTAACTGTGTGTGTGAGTTCAGGACTAACTGTGTGTGTGATTTCAGGTAACAGTAAAATCTTTTGATCACTTTCAAACAGGAGATTATTGCGCTATCATTTGAAAGATGCAAGAGGCTTCTTTTCTTGTTGTAATAAGAGCTCATCAATGATTTAATAATACGTATAATTATAATAAGTAATGATGAAGTGTGAATAATGTGTTTTAGCTCGTGAAACAAACCGAATTTTTGCTTCGGCCTTAAAGGGTTAATAGTGTTGGATAACTGTAGCTCACATTTCTCTCTTTCATGTGTTTTTTGTGTGTGTGTGTGTGTGTGTGTGTGTGTGTGTGTGTGTGTGTGTGTGTGTGTGTGTGTGTTTGTACATGATTATTTGTGTGCACGACTGTTGGCGTGTGTCCTGTTGATCGTGCATGCATGTATTTGTATAGCTGCGTCTGGATGAGGCTCAGGAGGCGGAATGCCAGGCTCTGCGGCACCAGCTGCAGCAGGAGATGGAGCTGCTGAACGCCTACCAGAGTAAAATAAAGATGCAGACGGAGGCGCAGCACGAGCGAGAGCAGCAGAAGCTCGAGCAGAAAGTGTCACTGCGCAGGGCCCACCTGGAACAAAAGGTACCGCCACAACCCCTTAAACTGTAGACTTGCTATTAGAGACGCACCGATACCACTTTTCCCCGATACCGAAACCTGATCCTTTAGTATCGGACGATACTGAGTACTGATCCTAACTCTATCTAACCTAACTCACGTATAAGTCCTGATATTTACACAATTACATTATTTAAATATTTTATTTTGGTAAAATCTGCGTCACAAATAAAACACTTAACTTGGCTAGATGGCATTTACTAGTTGGATTTTATTTATTAGATGCTTAAGAAAACTTATTTTTGCTTACTTACTGTATATATTTAGTATTTACTATTATATAATTAGTAATAAGAAACATGTTTAACAACTTAAGTAAATGTAAAATATCTTTATTGTGCGAAACAGTTAAAAACAGAACTGAACAGTTTACAGATAAACCTGTGGTGTTTACACATCAGCACAGAGCAGCTTCTCGGGCTCAAAAATGGAGCTGAGTGTTGTTTCACATCCAAATTTCTCGAGTCATTTGTCTCATACACTGATGGAGGCGCACAGCAGACAGGGATAGTGGACGCACAGGCCCGGCTGGCGGACTGCTATGCTAAAGGCTGAATCAAGACTAAAGGCTATCAATACACCGAGAGTCCAGCAGCTCTTTCCACTCAGACTGCGAGTGACCAAACAGCGGCAGATGATTAATTACTGAAAGAAGCAGCTCAGCGTTCAGGTTAGCGGCTCCTTTAGCATGTTCTTCACACCAAAAACTGCCGTTACAGGTTCTGCCATGAGCATTTTTACTGCTGCTTGTCGTCCCACAGTGCCAAAGTGTTGTTAAGTTCTGTCTACTGGCGCTCAGGCATGCGTCAGAAATTGCTTCGCGATGTCAGTCATATGTATTGGTATGCCTGATACCAATACCAGTCCTGCATTTCAGAGCCAATATCAGCGCCGATACCAATAAAGTGTCAGTATCGGTGCAACACTGCTTGCTATTTAGCTATTATATAAAAACGTTGTTGTCCAGTAACTGCTAGAAATTATTCAGTATTTATTAGTGGACTCATAAACAGACCCTGAGAGTTTAAGGGGTTAAATTTGCTCAAACTTGTAAATAACAAAACATAAAGACATAAATAAACATATCACTCCTGTTTTGATAGAACTACACTGGCTTCCTGTATCTTTTAGGATAGAAGTTCTGCTACTGGTTTTTAAGGCTGTAAATGACCTTAAAGCTCCTGCTTACATCACAAAATGTGATCTTAGACATGTAGATACTGACCTTCTGCAAAAACCTTCCATAAAATACAGAGACAGTTATTATGTTATGTTATTCTGCTTCTAAACTGTGGAACTCAATTCCATGTTTTATTAAACCTTTAAGTTCAGTGCTCAATTTTAAGACGCGTATCTCTTTAACTCGGCGTTTAATTAAAAGTCTTCATCTCTTTGGTATTTATCTTTTGAATTTGTGTCAGTGCCTTATATGATTTTAAAATATTACTCATAGTTTCTACTGTAAGCTTTATCACCTGTCTGTAAAGCAGTTTGAGCTGCCACTGGTGTGAAAACTGCACTATAAATCAAGATCTTATTATTATTATTTTAATTATTATTAAATAGTGATGAATATTTTTATTAATGCAGTGGTTCTCAACCTTTTCCACTTCAAGGCCCACCTGTTTATCACTAGAAAGCATGAAGGCCCACGAAAAAAACAAAACTCAACATTTTTGCTTAAAAATGTCATTTTAGGAGATTTTCAGCAGACTGATATTTGGGCTCCTGCCCTTACAATGTGTGATGTGCATCAGTGGACATGAAATCTCAGCAGAATATTGGTACGAGTGGACAACTGAAAGGTCAGGTCTTTCTAGAGGCAAAGGGCAAAAAAACTGACCAAGCTGCCGTTGTGCACTGTTATTGCGGGGCTCGTATTAATGTGGTTAACTGTCTGAAAACATTTTATATTTTTTTATTAAGTCACTTATTTTTTCACTGATTTTTGTAACAAAGTGCCATCACAGGCCCACTACGGACCACTAGCCCCCCTCAGTATAGGCCCAAGGACTTGTGGTCCTTGGCCCAGTGGTTGAGAAACCTTGCCTTGGTGGTCGTACGGACAAAATTCAGGCCTCAAATGACCGTTTTTAGCTACGTGACGTACATTTGCCCTTTTTGATACGTAACAGTGTGTGATACAGTATCAGAAACGATATAAGCAAATCTGTTAACAGCACAAGTCAGGCAAGACGACTCAAGCACACATTAGCTTTATGCTAATTGAGGTGTATGCTGCCATTACTTGTTAGCTACATTAGCCTCGTAGCTCCAGTGCAAAACTACAGAAGCAAATGTGTCTCTGCTGATGGACCACATTTGGATTAAGAGGGGAAAACTGTGTAAATTTGATTATTCGGTGAAGTTTTCCTCAAACTCAATTCAATCTTAAGACTCGCTACATCAGAACACAACTGCTCATCTGATTCCAGACCTACCTTAGACGTTGATCATGTGTTTTTTATTAATTATTTATTAAAGCCAAATCTGCAGACAGTAGTAGCAGCTCGCTTTAGAGATGCCCTGGTCTGTTATTGTGGATTAAGAGTTCAACATCAATAGGTTCTTAGACTGGTCCCTGTTAATCTTCTACAATCCGCCCCGCTATTGTTTCCTCCTTTCCCTGCACCAGTCTGGAGGCTCATGTAGGACTGAAACAGTTCCAGCTGTCTGGTTTTAGATTGTAAACCTGTGATTATCATGTTTACTGTCATCAGCATTACTGCTTGTGAGGTACTTGCAGTAATCAGTGAAAGATTATATACCCTACTTAGAGAAAAGCTGTATTTGTATTTAAGAAGGAAGGAATCTCCTTCACGTCTGCACCCCCCACCCAGTTCCACCCAGTATTACCCCTCTCCATTTTATTTATTCATTTATTAATGCTGCATCTGTGATAATGTCAGTAGCCACCCCCCATATTATAAATTAAAAGTAGTAAATTAAGAACAGCAGGTTTTTATATATAGATTTTATATATTCGCCGCTGTCAGAACAAAACCTTGTATCTCCGAAATGCTAACTTTACAGGAGAAGGAAAAAACCTACATTACTTTAAATGTAAGTCAATGGAACCAGACTTTTCCAAGTCATCTTGGGCCGTTTCTTTTGGCCTTTTATCATTCAATTTAGAAGGTTTAGTGTTGGTTTATCATGTGCAGCTGGCATAAGAAGTGATTTGTACCTGATATTTCATCTGATTTAGTGATTTGTCTTTTTGTGCGTGATCTAACATTATACAACAGTTAGTTCCGGCCACGCAAGCTGATTTGGTTGAGAGGCGTTCTAGCTGTTTTTTCACAACCACTGTATCACTCCACAGATATGCTGTTGCTAAGCAACGACTTTGACCGCTGTAGGAGACGCTCGAGCCATTTGAACGTTTTTACTTCTTACTTTGCCACAAACAGAAAACGGACACTTTTAAGATCACATTTGACCGACAGCCGATTTGGTCAGACCCTGAAGATGAGACGACACTAAATTCCCAAACTGTCATCACCACTGAGCAGCTTTTCAGTCAGCAGCTGTGACAGAAGAACAGCTAAACAACCTGGAATCAGCCAGAAATGAACCCAATACCATTCGCCAAACTAAACGGGCTGTAAGATGCTTTACAGACTGGCTGGAACAAAACATCAATACTGATCTGGCAAAGCTGAGCTAAACTTGATGTTGCGGCAGTTTTATGGCTCAGTCTGATTTGGTCAGACTCAGACTACACGTTTGGTGAATGGTGTTGGGTTCATTTCTGGCTGATTCCAGGTTGTTTAGCTGTTCTTCTGTCACAGCTGCCGACTGAAAAGCTGCTCAGTGGTGATGACAGTTTCAGAATTTAGTGCAAGGAGCTGGAGAACGACCTGCCGGCTGAGCAGCGAGTGGGCGGAGCTCATTACTCTGACGTAGCAACGAGCTGCTCGTTAAGGAACTATAATTTGGTGAAGGAACTGCGAACATTAAAACATATTAAACGCCGCGTTCACGACCCAGTTTATTAAATTATTACTCTATTTATTTAACTGTTGTATAAAGGCAATAGAACACTTGAGGAGTGTGTTATGTTATATGCAGTGTATTATAAATTATGCAGTATCTATTATGAATTATTAGGTAAATATTTTAAATAATTCAGTAACTACTATAAATTTAGTAACACAAATGAATTATTCATGAACTATTTTGATATTTTAGTAAAGGTGGTGTTTCAGTAACTTAGTGAATGAGGAACTGAATTGTAACCCCACCTACAGACCCTCAGAGGTTTAAGGGGTTTAACCAGTTTAACTACACTGACGTCATCTTTAATCATCTTTCCCTGACTGTATCTTTACCCGTGTGACTGTCAGATCGAAGAGGAGCTGGCTTCTCTTCAGAAGGAGCGCACAGACCGGATCAAACACCTTCTGGAAAGGCAGGAGAGGGAGATGGACGCCTTCGACATGGAGAGCCTGCGCATGGGCTTCGGAAACCTGGGCGCCTTGGACTACCCTAAAGACGACTACAGATGAGACCTGACCGATTATGCCTAATTGTTTTTCATTTTTTTTCTTATTTTGAGAAGCCCTTCGTCCTCCACTGTTTAAAAGGACACATGCAGTTTTTTTTTTGTTTTGTTTTTCTACTGACAAACAAACCCTCCACTTTTCCGGACTAGTGCCTGCACAGGCCTTCTTTTGCAACAGGCCCCCTCCTCTTGTCATAAGATTACAACATGCTGGATAACTTCTGTAGTTATCTTTTTTTATATATATATATATATATATATATATATATATATATATATAGATATATATATAGCTATATAAGTATTACATATAAGAGAACGAAACAATGTCACAGTGTTGATGTCAGTGATTTTTCTCGTGCAATGATAACACTTGATGTGATTGAAATAGAAAATTAGAGAGGAAGAAAAGCAATATGGATGTGTGTATGTGGGAGGGGGGTTGTATTGCTACTGTTAATTTTTTTTTTTAGCTGATATTTTCCCAGGTGGAGTGAAGAGCAAGATGCAGTCTTAGACATATTGCTGCTGAGTCTCTCCATTTGGTATTTATTCATCCGAAAGAAATACACAAAATTTTGACGTATTGAACAAATTTGATAACGTTTTAAATGTTCATCTGATGTACATACTTGATAGCTGCATCTGTGAGCCGGAGATTCTTACGGTGGGTGAATTAAAGGGTTTCTTTCGAGGGACCCCCACTCTGTTCCTCTGTATAATAATCAACCTCCACTGAGGTCAGCAATGTGAATAATAATTCATACGTTTATGAATCCTTGCTCCTGGTACTAGCACAAAGGGCTCTGGGGGAAGGGTACGTGTATTTTATGTGTAGAAGGCTTTATGGAAAACGTCGACTTATTTTCCTATTGTATTTTAACTTCAATTTTTTTAAGATGTTGACCGATTGACCACCTCCCCCAAACTCTTTCAGTAAAATCATCTCTTGGACTATATTTGACTATAATGACCTTTTTTTTTTTTTTGCTTCTCAAGCTGTGCATTTTTCTTACGAGAATCAAAAACTCTGTGAATAATAATAAAAAAAATACTGCTTTACTGTTTGCATGCACTTTAAATTTTTTTTTGTTTTCAGGTTGAGGAAAAGCATGATTTGTCATAAATGCTTTTAATTATTGTAAATAAAGTGCTCACCACACAAGAGTAGTCTGCTGTAGTTTTTAATATCAGGAACACCATTTTTCCCTAATTCCCGACACGTCTTATACAACAAAATCATCCTATCACCGTGGTGCACAAAATTAGATCTGTATCCATAGGAACAAGGTATGGGGACCAAAAAAAATTAGCATTTTCAAACGAAACAACCACCATTTAAGTGCAGGAACAGCAGTGAAGCAAAGGCGAGATGTGAATCAGAGTTGAGATCGAATCCAATTGATGAGCTTTAGTAAAGCATTAACACAGTGCTGTGATAATCTGAACAGGTGATAATGAAACTGCACAGACCCCAACTCTGTTAAGCTCCAATAAAGGGGGGCATTTTGGTGAAAATATCTGTTTACTTCCCAGCCAGCTGCTCGTAAAGCTTGGGTACGTAGTTGTCCCACTCAGCCTGGTAGCATGTGCCGGCCACCGGGGCGCCAAGGCCGTATTTCTTGCGGAAGTTGGCGATCTTGAATTTTCCGCGGTTTTCTCCGGAGCGGTTGGTCAGGACCGGTTCGGTGCAGTTCACAGAGCCGGGCTGCTCATACACCAGCCACACGTAACGATGGAGGCCTACAAAGGACACGAAGAAGTGGGTAAAAGTGGCCTTAAACACATTAGAGATGCACTGATCTGATATTTCTCTCCTGATATCACTCCAGTTGTTTTCTTTTCTTTGAAATCTGTACTGTGCTGTTACAGTTGAAGAGCTCCTTCCAAAACATGACATGTTCAGGGCTACATAGACTTACCTGATCACTGTAGACAAAATAACTATTAAAATCACTCAAAAATCTGACAAGTTTTACCCACTTTAAAGCTGTACTATAAGTTTTGGGGATTTGGAGACCTCTCTGGTGGAAATGTGTAATTGCAGGCAACATGCAGAAGAAAATTTTGTATCATGGGTTGTGCTTCGTACTCCTTCCCCAAGCAGATCAATCTGATGATTGCGAGCAAACTGTGAAGGACATGTCTTCTGAGGACGTGAGTCAATTATCTACTACTGTTATATCTTTTTTAGTATAATATTGATTTTGTATTTGAGACCTAAACATCAAGCTGGACCTTTTTTTGAGCCTGTGAGGTGGTCTGAAAAACTCCTGACCCGACACCTCTGATTTTTAATATATTTCTGGCTTGATAGGGCGACTCACAGCAGCACACACTATATTTTAGCCTGTTTTTTTTTTCCTCTCTTGACTCTGTAATGCTACTTTCATTAACAAAAAATGTACATGGTGCAGCTTCAAACTGAAGAAAACAGACCAAAAAGACTTCAGAAGTTGTGTGCAGTACAGAAGAACCTGAAAAGTAGCTTGAATCAGTTTTCATGTGGCTTTTCACTATACAGACGGCAGAAAATCTGTCCTCTTCAAATGAGGCACGCCGAAAAATCAGATTTGAGCAGCCCGTCTGAAAAAGACTTAAACATCAGCACAGGAACTGAAGTTTTGATAGACTCTTCTCTTTTCTAATCAGCTGCTGTGTTATGCTTCAGGTAACACTATGTTTTGATGGTCCACTGTGTAGATGCTCACCTTGCCCAACCGTGACGTATTATATATTACTTGGCCCATTAAACCAATTCTGTTAATGAGGAAAATGACCGAGACATGCTATTCTTACTCCAAACAGCAGGGTCGTCCAGTTTAGTTATGCAACATGACATTTGTTAACATGACATGTTAACAAAACTGGCAACCGTGCCTTGTATGAGTGAACTTTGAACTGGACTGCCTGGACTTCTTAGGCTCGGCCAACGCTACACAAGTTTTGGCCCGCCGATTTGCCCCTTGCGACAAATTTTCACACTCTGAAGCGATTTTCCAGGTCGAGAGCTCGATCGGAAGTGACCGACGACGTGGATGATCTGGTAGTGTGAAAGGAGAAACGAGTGAATCTTTAGCCCTCAGATCGAACTCAGAAGTGACCGGAGGCCCCAGTATTATCAAACGTTTGATATTTACAGTTCAAAACGTTCACGAGTCCTGCAGTGTGAGGAGGTCAGGGATTTACTCAACGAGTGATTCAAACAGCAGCCAATCAGAGAGCTAGAAGAGCAGAGAAACAGGCGAAGAGAAGAGCATGAACAGCAAAGCGGAGACAGGGGAGCTGTGAGTAAAACACAGGTAGAAAAGACCGTTATCATGTTTATAATTATGGATTCAGACGTCAAAGCCCTCTCTCTACAATTTCAGCTCAGCTGCCAGATTGTAGTGAAATATTTCTCCAGCTTTCACTGTGTGAGGGGGTCCGGTCCAGTCAGCTTAGCTTCATTTGTGTCGTGTGATCAGAGGAGATCTAGGAGTTGTGTATTGAACGCCCAGCCTTAGGTAGCTAGATAGCTTAAGCTAAGCTGTCCTACTTGGAAAGAAGCCTTTTCTACTGGCCAATCCTCACTTTTGGCTCGTATTATCCAACTAATTGAGAATGTTTATCAAACCTCTCGGAGCACATCTTTTAGGACAGAATTACGTGATCTGACGAGACCTGACTGTTCTTATTTTGAAATGCCCGATCATTTGGCCAGACAATCATCACAACTGGCAGCTGTGGCCAGTATGAGTCTGAACTTTGAACTGGCGGGAGAAAGTTCAGTCCAAACTTTAAACTAAACTTTCAACCTTTACTTTATTTACTGATTTACAGAATTTACTCCTCCAAATCAAGAGGGAAAAATCACGAGGGGAAAAAAGAAAACTCTTACCAGTTCCTTTAGGAGGGCCAGAACCAACGTAGTCCGACATCACACACCCAGTGGAGATATCATTCCCTTTCACATTGACAACAAGAAAGTGGTGCCATTCCCTGGAAGAAGAAAACAAAAGCTAACATACAGATTTTGCTTAGAGGATGAAGTGCTGCAGTTTTAGTCTCCCAAAGAGGACGTTTGGAGTACACTGGTCAGTTTCCCCCAGTCTTACAGTCCACTTGCTCTGCAGTTTTGGTGTTTTGCTGCTCTAACTCA